AGGGTACAAAATCCCTGAGGAGACATGTGAATGTACTAAAGACCTTCAGTGGCAAAAGACTTGAATTATGGCTCTTTGCTGTAAGTCTCACAGATTTGACATTTACCTGTTCTATCTCAATATAAGAATAAATAATATATTTTTAAACAGATACAATAATTTTAAATGTCAGCAGGATAGAGCCATTTGGTGTTGAAATGGCCTCTTACATACAGTAGTCACTGGAGGACGTGGTGGAGTGAATAATGTTCATACCAATAATGTTCACCCTAAGACATCAAGAAAATTTTGCACTGTGTTCTGCGAGTCCACTTGAGAGAATTGGAGAGGTGGGGAGTTCTTCTCTACCAAAGTATCTGTGTGCTACAAGTTCCAGCACAAAATATGGTGTTTGGCATCTTTTCCATCGGTTACAGGTAGCCTCCCCCCATGTCCAGAAAGACAAGTTCATTGACCACAGTCTGACTCCCTGTTTTTGGCCATCAGATAAGTCTGCAGATTCCTTTCTGCCTACCCAGGCAGCTTCCTCTGGGTTCCTTGTCCTCCTAAATTACCTTCAGTTCAGCTTTGGGGTCACCATGGTGCATGGGACAGTGCAGGGATCCAAGAAGAAGCAGAGGGGGCACACATTGGCTTCTCTTCCAACTCATGCGTTCTGATACAGCAGAAGTCTTGGGAGTGCTTGCTTGGCTGACATTTTCCTGGCTTCCTGTCAGAAGCAGTCAAAGAAAGAAATGAAATTCACAGGGCCCCAGCTGCCATGCGAGGCTCTTCACCTTTTGTGTCTTGGCTCATGTCCTTTCCCCGGTAATCTTTCTATTACAAGTAAACTTGAAGGTTATAACAAAAAGCACTGACAAGAATGAAACTCATTGTTTAAACTCTGATGTAGCAAAGATTCCATGTCCCAAGATGCCAGCATGTTAGAACAATTAACACTAAAGTATAATATTTTGATTTGTTGATCAAAAGAAACAGGGAAGCAAGATGATTCATCTTGTAAAGGTGTTTGTCACCTTGTTAGACTCTTGGAACCCACGTGGTGGAAGGAGAGAACTGACTTCTGCAAGTTGTCCTCTGACCTCCCTGTATGCACACACATGCACACAGACATACACACCTATACACATATCAATTAAGAAGTCACAGTGCCCTAACACCACACATAGAACTATAGGCAACTAAGGAATGCCAAGAGCAGGACAGAGAGTCTTCCCCAGGGAAGAGCCCTGAAATTGGTTATTCAACCAAATGGACAGCCCTGAAATATATATATGTGTGTGTGTGTGTGTGTGTGTGTGTGTGTGTGTGTGTGTGTGTGTGTGTGTGAGACATTAATATGGACTCAGCAGGTTGTATTTCTGTCTCTATATTTAGGAGTATGTATGTGTGTCTATCACAACTAAAGAAAAAGAGGCCAGAGGTCATGAATTTGGGGGCATGTGGCATGGGAGGTCTTGAGGGGAAGAAAGGAAAAGGAGAATTTGTGTAATTATATTATCATTTCAAAAATAAAAATAAGTATAATAAAAAGTAAAATAAATGAATAAGTAAAACATGAAAGAAGTGGGAGGTTGCATAATCTCTCTTACTATAAAATCTTGAACAAAGGTGTTATGAGATAGTGTTCAAGACAAAATGACTTGTATATCAGCAAGAAGGCACAAGTAGTGATGGAAGATGCTGGGATTTGAAAGGCAAATCTAAGTTAATGGCATGTGTAGAGAAAGGGAGACACTTTGAGATGTCGAAGCTGAAAATGCTGGAAATAGAGGAAACTCCTAAATCATTCTGCAGGTGGCTGAGGAAAACTAGAGATGCAATATGGTTGTCTTCCTCACTTCTTTCCATCCCTCCATCCCACCTTTCCCTACTTTCTTCATATTCTTTCTCTCCCCTCTTCCCTTCCTCTTCTTTCTTTCATTACTATTTTTTTCTCCTTTGATTCTTGCCCTGATAGTTACTGAGGACTTCATCTATGCTTGCCACCAGGCCATGTCTATTTTCACAATTATATGTATAAGTTAATTATTTTCATAATAGGGATACTTACAAGTTTAATAATGAATACTTCTATTGTCATGTAAAGAAACTAAGGCTTGGAGTAATTAAGTTATTTATCAATGTCGCATGACTTGCATGCAAGTGGTAGGGCAGAGACAGAAATTAGCTGCATTTCAGGTCTCCTACTGCAAAGCCAGCACGAGTAAGTGCTCAGCTATGGTGGTGATGAACTTCATAATGACACTGGTATTGATGGCGGAGAATGCCATGGTTACAACGTATGTTCTCAAGGTCACATGGTAGTCAGAGTACCTGATTCTAAGCCACTCTTTTCTCTGTAGGCCCAGGATAATGAATACAAGAAATAGTTTAGAACATTTACTTCTGGAATAATAACCTCCTGTCCTGGTTCCATTTTTCCAAATTCAAACTTCATTTGAATGCTTTTGAGATTTAAATAGAGCTATTAAGTGCTACCAGAAACAAGAATTTTAGTCTAATATTTGTTTCCTTGTAGACAATATATAGATATAAATATAGATAGATATTCTGTGTGCTTCTGACTGAATTAAACTAAAGATAAAGACTTTTCTATGTCGGGGGATATTTAAGCTTTAAGCCATTGTGGGAACTACACTGACTCCACATTGCCTGATGAATTGGAAATCATCTTCTCTCCCTCAGACACTAACTCGTTCATAGCTCACATCCTAGGTTAACTGTTCCCTTATGGCCTAAAGGTTATGGGGTTTAGCAATCCATTTTAGCAAGGCCTTAGGTGCGAGACACTGTGAGCCCAGGTTGTGAGTGTCTGGTGGCTGCCATACCCTCCCCTATCTTCCAAGTGAGGAAGCTACCTCTGGCCTCAGTTCTGGCCTTCACTCCTACTATTCTTTTGCTCTGTCATAAGCAGGTACTAGGTTGGGCTTAGTAATCAATTCCTATCCTCATCAAGTACGGAAGAAAAAAATACATTGGACACCTGTTGTTCAAATCTTAGGTGATCTTTTAATAAAAAAAAAAAACCTCAGAGCCAGATATTGGGGTGAAAACTGAAAGATCAGAGAAGCAGAGCAGCTAGCCACTAATTCTTACCTCTATGAAATTCTCAGTCTAAAGAGAGTGAGTTCCTGTTTCCTCACACCTTATATACCTTTCTCTGCCCTGCCATATTACTTCCTGGGATTAAAGGAATGTGTGCTTCCCAAGCAAATGCATGAAATCTTAAGTGCTGAGATCAAAGGTGTGTGCCACCACTGCCTGACTTCTATGTCTGACTCTGTCCTCTGATCCTTACTCAGGTTTATTAGGGTACACAGTATATCACCACAGACACCCAACCCACACAACTTACCTGACATTCATTTTTCGTTTCAACATGGTAAAATCATGCCTGTGTTCCTTCCACGTGCCTTCATAAGTGCTTGCTACTCCAGCATGTCTTCATGCTTCTCATTGCTCAGCCCAAAGTGATGGATGCTCCCACCCATCAGAAAGGCCCTGCAAGCATTTTGTTGTACCCAAATTACTCCTGGCATTCTCTATTCAGTACACTTGCACCCATTAGAAAGCAGGACTTCGGCCAGGCAATGGTGTTGCACTCACTTCATCCCAGCATTTGGGAAGCAGAGGCAGGTAGATCTCTAAGTCTGAGACCAGTCTGACCTACAGAGTGTGTTCCAGGACAGCCAAGGCTACACAGAAGCCCTGTCTTGAAAAAAAATTTTTAAAAAGGCAGAACTTTGAGGCACAGACTCAGTTTGTCTGTCTTATAGGATAGTGGTTTTATGACATTTGGGCAGATTCATTTCACTGATGTGTTAATGAATTTTGTGGGAGGCACATACCATTCAATGACAGATTTAGACAAAACTCACTATTAAGTTCATTTTAATTTTTCCAGTAACAACTGATGCTACCAGCAGGTATTATTGAAAAGGAGAATTTCTGAACCAGAAATTGACAAATAATGGCTTTGAAGGGCTTATGTTATAAAACCACTTGGAGCTTTTTGTTTGTTTGTTTGTTTTTGCTTATTTTTTGTTTGGGTTTTTTACTTTTTAAATGACTGGGAAGGACTGAAGGAAATACTAGCTTATAACATATTAAGTTTGCATAAGATTTTAAGTGTAAAATGAAAATGATGTAACATCTGAAGATTACTCACATGGTGACATTTCCTTGGCATACAGCCATGCCTCCTTGTGTGTATCCATTGAAGATAGACTGTATACCAAGATGGCAGAGGTGAACAGTGTCAACAGAAATCACACACTCCACAAGGCTTAGGATCAGGCTTGTCACAACAACATGCTGTGCCCTGTTCTGAATTTCATTCTAAAGGAGGAAGGAAGCACAGCATGGAAAAGGAACGTGGAGACCTAGATGGTAAAGGGGAAAGTGAATGGTGGCCTAGAGTGCTTGGAGGAAAAGATCCCTAGAAAGGAGAACAGAAAAAAAAATGGGCAGAGATCTACCTGACAGTGTCCTCTTTCCCAGCTTCATGCATGTACTGTCAGCATTTGCACAAAGGATTCTCTTGACTGGAAGGTGTCCACCCCACCTTTCTGCTCTTCTCTTTGGGAGCTGCAAGGTTCCTCTGGAGAAACTGGAAACTAGAAGGGGCATGGCTAGAAGGTGTTCAGTTGCTCCTATGCTCCAAGGCTAGTTATTTTCCACACTAAGATTAAAAAAAACTATAATTTTCAAATATCTCTTGTTCAATTGTATGTGTGTATGCATGTGTGTGTGTGTGTGTGTGTGTGTGTGTGTGTGTGTGTGTGTGTGTGTATGTTAGAAGTCCATCTCTTTGGAGGAAATCTATGTTGACTGTGTGCCCATCATCACATACCATAAAATATTTGAATTTCTAAAACAAAGATGCATCAGTCAGAACTTGGATAGAACCAGGTCAGCCCCTCGAAGAATTGGGATTACAGTGCCTTTATTATAATAATCTGCCACCTTCATGTGCTTCTTCCATTTTCTTATTACAGGGTAATGCCCTATACTTCAAATCTGCCAGGAATGTGACAGTGAACATTCTCAATGACCAGACAAAAGTGCTGACTCGGCTGGTGACAGGTAAGAGAAGAACAAATTGACAAATGGCTGGTCCATCTGAGCACCTAGACAAAACAACCTTTCCTGTCCTGTGAGATCCCCCATGAACTTGAACAAGGGTCTGCTGACCGCTTTCTGTGTGTAAAGAAAGCAAATTCAGCTTGTAACCTCTGATTCTACCAAAAGGTTCAGTCTCATCTATTTACATGTTTAACTTACCAAATTCCATGGCTCTTGCTTTTACAGAAAAGCTGTTTTTAGTAGAACAAAACTAAATGGCCCCTACACACAAGCCAGCTGCTTCAACTGGTTCTCAACCAAGAAAACTTTTACATTTTAACTTTATTTTTGAGAAGCTCATACATGTGTACAATGAGGTATGATCATATATACCCTTTATTTCCTCCCTCCAACTCTCCCCAGCACACTCCCACCCAATTTAATGTCCTTTTATTTTAATAACCTACTAATTGTAGTTAGCGTTGCCCATACATAGGCAGGTAGGGGGCTCTTCACTCAACTATGGCAAACTTAACCAGTGGCCACATCCTCAAAAAGGAATCATTTTCCCTCCTCCAGCAACTATCCACTGTTTGTAGTTCCCCAGTAAGGAGTGTGGCCTGGAGACTGTGTACCCCATCTCTGCTGGCATTTGGGCTGCCTTGATCTTATATAGTCTGTGCAGGGAACTACAACTGCTATAGGTTGATGACCATGATAGCCTTGGTACATCCAGAAGACAGACTTTCACTGTGCTCCTCCCTGTCCTCCAGCTGTTATACCATTTTTGACCTCATCTTCTGCAAGCCTCCCTGAGCCTTGGTGGAGTAGGAGTTGATATAGATATCTCATTTAGGGCTGAGCACCCAATCTCTTTATTTAACCCTTTTTGACCAGTTGTGAATCTCTCCACTGATGGCTTCCCATGGCAAAAAGAAGCTTCTCTGACAAAGAATGAGAGCAATCAATGAGTGTGAGGTAAATAATATTTAGAAAGCAATTTGATGGCATGACCCTGCATACTGCAATACTTGCCTACCAAGATGTGCCAGCTTGTGCAGCAGTAATACAATAGTTATGAGGTGACCAACTGCTTTCTGATTGGATGAGGCCTGTTTCCCAGGGAGGAATTTAATGCTTAGTACTGTAATCTGAGCCAAAAGCCTGTGGCTTTGGAGAACATAGGCCCTAGGATGGAACCTGCTGTTTTAAATTTGGGTAAAGAGTCATGCTGTCCAAAGTTCCCCTTTCACCAGTGCAGGAAGGCTAGCTATACTAAGTTAAGAGCAGAGGGTGTGTGTGTGTGTGTGTGTGTGTGTGTGTGTGTGTGTGTGTGTGTATGGCATATGTGAGTATATGATTGTATGTGTATGCCCATGTGTATATATACACGTGCCCACATATGTGTATAAAGGGCAGGGGTTGACATCAGATGTATTTCTCCATCACTCTCCATTTTATTTTTTGAACAACATCTCTCACTGAGGTCAAAGTATACAGATTGGTTACACTGGGAGGCAAATTAATTAGGGGATTTTGCCTATCTCCACCCCTCCATGCCCTCATCGTGCCAGCGCTGGGGTTATAGACACAGCTAGCATGCCCAGCTTTTACATGGGAATTGGGTATCCAAAATCAGGTCCTCAATGCCTGCACGGAAGGCACTTTACTGTCTAAGCCATTTCCCTTGCTCCTGGAAAAGGATCTTTAATGATAGTTTGAAGCCTCGTCCTGTTTGCTATACTTGCTGTCTTTGAGCCTAACTCAACTGCAAGCTCCAGATGTGTCCACAGGCTGTATATGTGTGGTTCTTTTTAGTACAGAAGATCTGTTCCTAACAGCCGTGGGAAACACCCACTAGGTTTTAAGCTTTGAATTCTAACAATTTAAACAAGGATTGGTTGTTCATAATAATGACTCCACTGATAAGCATGGGCCTCATGGACACAGTCGTGTGTTGAGTGGTGTGATCAATGCACCCTCTGTAGTTTTACAAGATGTAATAAACAGAGAGTCATTGTATACCCCACAGTGGAAGGGGAATGAGTGGGTCAGAACGACATTGTTAGACCTTCAGAAGAAAATGCCTTTTGACTTTGGGGCTGAGAGAAAAGCATCCAGATGGATTTTTAAGAGGACAGTGACCCAAATGCCCCAAAACATTACTGTGAATAGAATTTCCAGAGGCACACTAATAACTGAGTCACAGGAAAGCAGGTGCCATTGCACAGAGCCCTGCTCCCCTCGTCCCCCAGTCAAGCTGCAGAAGGATGTCAGGAGTTACATAGCCCTGAGGTGGACTGGACCATGCACAGTAGAGAAGCTCCTGGATCTGTGGAAATGCTGCCCAGTAGAGCCTGTGATGCACAAATGCACTGTTACAGCAGGCATCTGGACTGACCCTAGGCTTTGCTTGTAGAACATCTGGCCTCCAGTCACTGGTGCTAAATAATTAAATAAACAGCTCCAGTAAGCAGTGATTTAAGCAACTTGTGTGAAAAGTACCTCCAGGAGGGAGATAAATCAACCTCCAGCTCCCAGATCCCAGGGCTCAAAAAGAACTGATCTAGCCTGTTGATCTACAGTAGGAGATTTGGTTTACTTGAAAGATTGTGTTTTGATAAAGCTGACAATGACTATAGCTCCTCTAAAGAGAGCCCACCTCTGTCCCTTTCCCTCTCCTTTTCCTCTTCCCTCCTCTCCTCTTTTTCTCTCTTAATCTTCCTTTTCTTCCCAGTTCCTCCTCCCCCCTCCATATTCATCTCCTCCTCTTTCTTCCAATCCCCTCTCTCCTCTTTGCTTCCTTCATCTGTTCTCTACATTCTCCCTTCTTCCTATCCCCCCGTCCTCTCCATTACCCTACACATCTCTCCCTCCCACCCCTTTTGACCCTCTGGTCACCTCCGCTTCCCTCCCCCTCTCTCCTCCTCTCTTCCTTCTCTTGCCTTCCAGTAGCCTTTTGATCTCCCATTCCTAAATTAGTCCCTCTTAGGAGCTGGACAACAGCAATCCTTACTTTAAAATGAGGCACAAGAAAAGCTAATTCTGGAAAAACGAAGAGGTAAAAATAATGCTTTCCAATTCCTCTTGTAAGGGATGTACTATTACACCAAGCATTGCAATTCTGAGGGTTCCAAAACTCTCCTGTGTACCTGGGAAATATCTCAAAAGTCTACTAGAATGCCCTATGTTCCAAGTGCAGGTCATCTTTTTGCATGAAGCATTACTTCCAGAGATAGAACTCAAGCCAAGCCACTGGTGCATTTTGACTCACAATGTTACTGATTGAGTATCTTAGCACAGTCCCTCTATGGAGCAATAGAGCATGTAAGGAGAACAGCTTTAGGCGGAGAAAGTGTCTTGGTCCCAAAGAAGAAATTAGGGTAATAAGCACTAGGCTTTTCTTGTCTTCATATTCCTGGTGGCCACAGTAGCTATACCCTTGAGGCTTTGCCTTCTTCTCCAAGTTGGGGAGAGGAAACTGAAGAGTCACACATAGACTGTGACCCATAGAAAGGTATTAACTGAAGAAGAGATTCCAGTCAGAAGTCATGATAATTTTCTTTTCCTCAAACAGTTTTAAGATCTCTGAGGGGCTTCCAAAACAGTATCCAGTTCCACCAGAATTTCATTCTAAAGCCATCTTTTAAGATTCCAGCCATGATCAGGGAATTTTTGCAGTCCCAGGTAAAACCAACAAAGGACAAAGCTGTCTGCACCAATGAGCCAGCAGCCACTGTGAGGACTTTTGGCTAAAGCTATGTTTTGCTGTGCTTTATGTTGGCAAATGGCTCTAGCCCTTGGTAAATTCTATTTCATATTTTGTGGTTTTCTGAAAGTGATACAACTTAATTGTGTTTTGTATGCTCTGATTGCTGTGGTCTCTTTTAGTACAATGCCCCCCTCCAATAAGTCTCACACAGCATTCCAGAGTCCACAGTGAGCTCAGGCTCCACACAGCAACCCTGGAGCCATGTCTGACAAGCTTGCCAGGTTCATGGAAGCCAAGACCAAGCATTTGTCTCCCACTGTCATATCTCCATATGACTATGTCTGGAGTGGGAAAACTGCCCTGCCCTGTCCATGCCCATCCTGAGGTTGTTCGTTCAGTTTTCATTAGCGTATGGTCTTCCATTTTCAGTGTCCTTCTCTCCAAACAGTGTTATCCTTCTAGAATTAACAAACAGTATAGATTTCACTTCAAGTTTTAATGGCATCAATAAGATAGCTACATCATAGCTCACACAGGAATACCTACTCTAAATCCTTTACACGATGTTGTTCTTCAAGATTTCCTTGAATTCTTTGTCATTGATTTCGACATTTCCTCTTCCTCGGAAATTTTCTCTCCTTGCTGTTTGGGATGTGCTGACTCCAGCCCTCTTCACCTTCCTAAACAGAGAACGATATTTTGTGTTCCATGTAGTATTCTGAGAGCTGGATTCTACTCTCAGAGTCTCCCTTGCTCCGACAGTGACCTTGAGGGAGCTGTAGCCTCACAGTGCTTATTCTTTTTTCTGTGCAACCAGACAAGATCATCTCCAGGACTCATGATGCTTGTAGATCCTGTATGATCTCTGATGCTTCAGTCTCTGGATCATTAAGGAACCTTTCCCCTGCACTTTTTCATGTTAGAGAGTCAAAGTGCATGTCCTGGCCAGGGAGGAGGTGGTCAGCTAATTGAATATGAGTGTGTGACTGGGCAAAGTGCACTAAGAGACACTCATCATTAGTAATATTCAATGCATCATAGCTATCTCAGTAGAATAATGCTAATGGCAATGATGAAGGTGACAATATCCACTGGAGCAATCACCACTACTCATGGCATTTTTGCACCTCCAAAGTTCTTTTTATAAATTCAATATCCTTTGATCTTTGCAACCTTTCTCTGAGGTCCATGGAAGAGATGATAGTTCACTTTTGCATACACAGAAAGAGAAAGATGAAATGACTTGCCTACAACCACATTGCCAAAAGAAGAGGGGTGGGGGAATTTTGATTCTAAGCCCCATACTTGTGACAAAGAACGTGATCCCATATATACAGGAGCTGGATTTAGCAAGATGACCTTGCTGCTCAGGTGCTCTCATGTAGATCAGTTGTTGGGAGCCACCTGAAATGTATGTGCTGAGGGTGCCCCAGCTCAGATAGGCTCAGATGGCTCCTATCAGGACCTCACATATATTAACCAGCTCACTTTCTTGCTGAATCTCTGGAGGTTGCTGATGCATTAATAAATTGAATCTGTATAAGTCTGGCTCCATCAGGATACAGATCTTGTGGGACCAGGGCCCCCCACTTATGCAATGCCATAGACAGCCTATGTTCAAGAACAGCATTTGATGCCACACAATGAACTCAAAGTTTATTTTTTTATTAAATTAATTCACACTGTAAGATACTTAACTGGTAGGGGAATTAACTATAATATAGCCATTGCTGCTTGGAAATTATCTGTCTACTGAGGAAATAGATTTGTCTTCATGTCAGTCAGTGGGTCAAGGGTATAAACAGACATATTTCAGCTCAACTTATGAGAACCCTTTCTGCTATTTACAACTAACTGAAGATGGTTAGTTCCCCCAAGAGACGATGATACTATGGGTCCTGACACTTTTGATCAGAAGCCCTCAAGTGTTTGACACTAATTTGGGGCTAGTAGAGAGAAATCTCATTCAAGCATTAATATGAGGAGAATAGGATGACCTCTAGAACCACATCCTGGGACCATGTGATTAAAAGCAATTGACAAGATGAGATGCAGTCAAGACACTGATTTCCATGGCCGACTTCAGAAAACCAATCCACTTGACATTGAAATCAGACACAATCCCGGGGAGCACATGTGTCCAATGAAAAGCTTTTGTAGTCAAATTCAACGAGGCTAATGTATTCCTCTTCTCTTTCTTTCTCTCTCCCTCTTAGGTCCAAAAGCTGTGGAAGCATACGGCAAAAAGTTTGAAGTAAAAACGGTTTCTGGAAAATTGCTCTTTTCTGCAGATGACAGTGAAGTGGTCGTGGGAGCCGAGAGATTGCGAGTCTTAGGTGAGAGAATTTAAACATGTGGGGGCTGGATGCTACCATGTATATTTTGAAGGGAAATGACAGCGTGCCATCCACTGAATGCTTGTGCCTTCCCCCAATGCATATATTAAAATCTTAACCCTCTGGTATGACAATGCTTGGAGATGACACCTTTATCAGGAAATCCATCCCTGAACCTGATTGGACCTTTTATCAGTAATGTGAGGTCCCTTGGAAGGAGATGAAGAAGCTGGTGGTTTGGTAGTTTGTACACCCCTCCCCCTCCTCTATTCCTCTTCCTCCCTCCTCCTCTTCCTCCCTCATCCTTCTTCATCTATGGCCCTTGTTCTTTCCCTTCCCTCACTTATAAAAACACAAGGAGAATTTGGCAGCCTGAATTTTAAAGGGAGCTCTCCTCAGAAACCAGCCAGAATGACACTGGATCTGAAATTTCTAGCTTCCAAAACTGTGAAGATAAAAAAAAGTATGTTGTTTTAAGCCATATAATCTCTAGTATATTGTTATAGGAACTCAAACACAAGCAAATGGGGTGGAGAAGTATAAATGAGGCCACTTTCCTAGGTTGTTTTAAAGCGAGGTAGTTTGACTTGCATGGACTCTGATTCCCCAGTGAGCTTTTCTCACACCGTGAATTCATTTTGGTTTCTGTTTCAACCATTTCCTTTGGGTTTCAATGTGTGCTCATATAAAGAAGTGTTCATGTAGGACATGCTTTTCTTACAGACCAGCAGGTTGAGAAGTGAATTCTCAACCAGTCTGCAAATGAAGTATAATCCAAGAAGCTTTTTTTAAAGTTTAAGTTTACAGATGTAACCACAGATTACTGAGTTAGATGCTCTGGTGGATAGGTTTGAAGTCAGTACTCATAAGCCAAGAGTGATGGCTCACATCTTTGATCCTAGGACTCACAAGGCAAAAGCAGAACTGCTGCAAGCTTGAAGCCAACCTGGGCTACATAGTGAGCTCCAAGCTGCAGAATGAGGCTCCGATTCAAAGAATAAGAAAGACAGGGAGGGTTGGGGGAAAAAAGACAGAAAGCAAGAGATGAAGGAAAGGAAAGAAATTATTTTTAAAATTTATTTATTTATATCTTGTGTATATGAGTATTTTTCTACATGTATGTGTATGCACTATGTGTGTGCCTGGTGTCCTTGGAAGTCAGAAGAGGGCCTCTGATCCCCCAGAACCAGAGTTATACATGACTGTAAGTTGCCATGTGGGTATTGGGAACTGAACTTAGATCCTCTGAAAGAGCAGGGATTGCATTTAATGGCCCAGTAATCCCTCATTCCCCATTTTTTTTAAAAAAGTGAAGCATAACAGGAATTTCTATGCTCTTCCTGCTGGATCAATGAATTTAAGCATACCTGTGTCTTCCAAGACTGCCCAATGAAAGTGCCCAGTGTAGTTGTTCAAATCATACTATTGCAGCAGACCTAGCTTTTGGGGTGTGTGTGTGGGGGTTCTACACAGGGTTTCTCTGTGTAGTTTTGGTGCCTGTCCTGAATCTCACTCTCTAGACCAGGCTAGCTCCAAACTCAGAGAGATCCACCTGGCTCTGCCTCCCAAGTGCTGGAATTAAAGGCGTGCACCACCACCGCCCAGTGCAGATCTAGCTTTTAACTGCTGATGTTGCCCACTGAGCTGTGTGGTTTGGGGCTGGTTACTGACGTCGTGGAGCCGTTTTCCTTCTCTTCTCAACAAGGCTAAGAATACTCGCCATCAGAAATTGGAGAGTTATTAGAGGCGATGTTATAAGTACTTCCCTCAGACCCTTAGTCAGACTTTCTAGCCCAGTTGGGCCCCTGTCCCTTTGTCTTAGCATGTCATCACCTCACCAGTCAGAAGATGTAAGTGACCATCCTTAAGGGGCCAAGCAGAGGGGAGGGCGCAGGGTGCACAGGTTGGGAGGAGAGAGGGCAGGCCAGTGCCTGGTTGGTGACTTACCTATAAAGTCATTCAGCTGCCTTCTCTATCAGGGCTTCCTGTTTACATCTTCAGAATGGGAGCTACTACAGAACAGGCTCCCAAGCAATGCTTTTTCATTGGTGGAAAATACAAACAAAGTTCCAAAATTACATAGCTCCAAGATTTATAATAGCTGAGGGTCCATGATCGCTTTGGAATGCGGGTGAGGGTTGAAAGTGGAGATGTCAGACATTGGAGTATTATCAAAATAGTTTTATTATTTCAACTTCTGTGTCCTCTGCGACTCTAGGCTGTGACAACTTGACGTTGAAAAGTAAGCAACACAATTAGGACAGATCTTGGTAACAAATGTGTTTCCAAGTTGGATTCAGGTCTTGGAGAATTCGAAGGCCTGACTACATAGAACTCTTTTTTAATACCTCCTAAATGAATAATATTTTTTGAAAAGTCTATGGACTACTTGCTCTGATCAGGTACCACACGTAACTGCATATTAGTGAATGTATACCTTGAACTTGAATCATCCAACTTTAGCCTCCCAAAGTAAAAGCTGCGATTGTAATCATGTATGACCATGTTTGACTTCTTCCATGTCTTGCTTGTTCTTTCTCTTTGTGAAGTAGACAGCATCTTCTCACCCCTGTTTTGCAGGTGGCAGAATTGAACTAAGCTGTACATGAGGGGAGCCCAGTAGGACTGAAAGCAAGTTCTCCCAGCCTGCTGTTTAAAGTGGTACACTCTAAACCACAGTTTTTTGCTGAGTCCTCTCCTTAGTCCTACTTTAAGATGGGGAAACTGAGGCTTGGAAAGGTATAGAAGCTTGTTGGAGAAAATGTGACGTTGTAGTCAGACCCTTGTTCAATTCCCCAGCCATGGACACCAAACTTGATGGTCTCCACCACAAGTGAATATGTCAGATCAAAGAGCTTCTCATCTCTCACAAACTATGCTTCTATTTATAGAAATGGCCTTCCCACGCTAATGGTAGGTTGGAGCGGGTTGGGGGGCATAAAACTTCAGGCTGTGCTCTTATTCAGTGGTATTGTGTATTACCAGCTCTGAAATAGTTGGCCAGAAAATGGAATGGTATGATATTTCATACTATGATAATCTTGCACCCATGGATTTTGCTGTCCCCAGTAGCTCATTCACACTTTTTGATTCATGTCACCTTATTAAAACCCAACTTTGCAAAGAAAATAAAATGATTTACAATAATGTTAAATATCTAGATATGTTGGATTAACCTTATCATATAGAACTTTGTAATGGTGTCATTCTTGAATGTCACTGTCCCATAGTTGCTTAGACTAAAATCCAGGACACATGATAGTTTCCAGTTACTTCAAAGCAGGTACTTCTTGTTGGTGGTGATATCAACTAAATAACAGTTGATAAGATCTGCCACTCTCCACCTTTAGGGGTATTTTCTTGTTTCTGGAAAAATTAGAAAGGACATATCAAAATGAAAATCCAACTGCTGTCAACAGTGCTAAAGATTGGGAAATGACCACCCCACAAATCTCACATTGATCTCTCCAGTGAAAGGAGCCAAGCATGCTAGAGAGATGAGCTTCCTGTCAGTTGGGACTCTGCCATATGGTGTGGAATGAAACGTTCAGGCAATTTCATTTTCAGCTTAATGAGAAGTTTGTGAGACGATTCAACCTCTTGGGAGGTCTGGGTCTGGTTGGGTAGTTCCTTGGAGCAGCTATCACAGCTGGGTTTGAATCTCTGCTCATCCTTTTAGGGTCCGAGTGGCCCTGTTCAAGGTGACTTTTCTCACTAAGCTTTAGTTTTCACCCATCTAAAGCAAGAGATGGAGGTAGCCAGAGTGGTGGTGCATAGTCATAATCCCGGCACTTATCTGGGGAGGTTAAATCAGGATGATTGCAAGTTTAAGACCAGCCTGGGCTACATATTAATAGTAAGTCACAGGTTTTCCTGTACTACATTATAGGGGAGAGAGAGAGAGAGAGAGAGAGAGAGAGAGAGAGAGAGAGAGAGAGAGAGAGAGAGAATATGTGGTGTGTGTGTGTGTGTGGAGAGAGAGAGAGAGAGAGAGAGAGAGAGAGAGAGAGAGAGAGAGAGAGAGAGAGAGAAGGGTAGAATATTATAAGAAAAATGAGTAAAAACCAATTTTTGCCTTTTCTCTTTCTTTCTGTGGTGCTGAGGCTAGACCCTGGGCCCTCGCACACTCTATACAAGTGCTTTACCACTTGTTTCTGAGCTTACATAGCTGTGACTTTTGCTGTGGATGTGGCTTCTTCTTCCTAAGATGTGGCTTCCTCTTCCTATGTATCCTCTTCCTCCTCCCCTGTGATGCCTGGCTTCCAGCACTCCTGGGAGCACAGAACACAGTGAGAGTAGACTATGTAGCCTGTAAGTAAACACTGAGGATGTAGGGACTTAGTTTGTTGGTGGTGGTGTCTAGTAACCAACTTAGGCTTTAGGAGACATATCAAGACCTGAACTTGAATATTCTATACTTGTGAGAACACAAAGGAAATTGGCTGTGAACATACAGGAGTACTCATGTCTCAGGTAAGCTGGGACTAGTAGACTATGAACACAATGAGGCCAGAAGAGAATATACCTTCATAGGTTAGGGAGTGCCACTCTTTCATATGTGTGCAGGTGTTCTGGTTTGCTTTCTGTTGCCATGGTTAAACATATTTACTAAAAGCCACTTGGGGAGAAAAGGATTATTTGGCTTACACTTCCAGATCACAGTTCATCATTGATTGAAGTCACCGTAGGAACTGAAGCAGGAACCTTGGAGGAACACTGCTATTGGCTTATTCTCTGCTAGGTTTCTTATATAGTCCACAGCTACCTGTGAAGGGATAGCACTACCCATAGTGATATGGGCCCTCGCACATCCATCACCAGTCAAGACAGTCTTTTGTAGACATTCCCACAGGGCCCATCTGATCCAGACAACTCTTCAGTTGAGCTTCCCTTTCATTGGTAGACTCTTGGCCTCTGTAAGCAAGAACTCTCAGGTGGTAAAAATCTGGGAGGAGGAAACTGCAGTTTCTAGTTTTTGTACTTACTGGCCAATCATAAAC